CATGTGTGCGTAGCGGTTGTGGAAGGCCTGCACGGGCGCATCGCGGAGCTGCGGAGAAAGCTGAGGGCCCGCCAACGCCGCCAACAAGGAGCAGCAGGACGACATTGCGCATCTGAAGCAGCAGCTGGAAGCAGCAGAGCAGGCCGCCGCCGCCGCCAAGAAGGAGGCCGAGGTGCTCCGGGCAGAGTCGCTCAAGCAGGAAGAGGCGGCAGCAGCGGCGGCAGCAGCGACCAACGGCGACACCAAGCGCCTCGCAGCCGAACTCGCCGCCGTCAGGGACGAGCTGCACCACAGCAAAGAGATGCGGACGAAAGAGCGCGAGGCATTTGAACAGCGTCGAAGCGAGCTGGAGGAGGAAATGAGGGAGAGCAAGGAAACACACCAGGCAGCCGTGGCGGCGCACAAGGAACGCGTTGCCACGCTGCAAGCCATGGTGGACGAGCAGCAGGCGGCTGCTGCAACCGCTCAGCGCACACACGACAGTGACGTGGCCTCACTCAACAGCACCATCGCGCAGCTCAATCAACGGCTCAATACAGCGGCGGAGGAGGCTGAGAAGGACGCAGCGGCGAGCGCGGAGAAGCAGCGCAAGACGCAAGGTGCGCTTGAGGAGACGCAGAAAGCGCTTGAGGAGGCGCGGAAGGGCGCTGATACGGCAAGGCGGGAGCTTGAGGAGGCGAAGCAGGCGCATGCCGGGGAGGTGAAGCGGCTTGAGGGCGCTGTTGCTGAGGCAGCGCGGGAGGAGGAAGCGCTGCGGGCGCAGCAGAAGAAGCTGCAGGAGCTGCGGGAGGAAGACAAGCGAGCCATGGACGAGGCACTTGCGGAGAGCAAGGCGACGCACGGCAAGGTGCAGGGCGAGCTGAAGGACCGCATTGCCGAGCTCGAGCGCCTTGTCGGGGAGGCGCGTACGCGGGAGACGCAGGTGCGTGAGGAGCTTGATGCGCAGCTGCGGAGCGTGCGCGTTGAGCTTGAGAAGCAGCAGGAGGCGGCTGCGGCGAGCGACCAGAGCGCGGAGGTTGCGCGGCTGAAGAAGCTGTGCGGGGAGAAGATGCGCGAGGTTGGCGAGCTGCAGGAGGCGCTTGATGCGAGTGCGAGCGCGCGCAGTGAGCTTGAGGGCGAGTTGCGGCGAGCACAGGACGGACAGCGGGAGGCTGAGAAGGACGCAGCGGCGAGCGCGGAGAAGCAGCGCAAGACGCAAGGTGCGCTTGAGGAGACGCAGAAAGCTCTTGAGGACGCGCGGACGGAGCTTCGGCTTCGGGAGGCCTCGCTGACGCAGCTTGAGCAGAGCCTGGGCGAGCGTGAGGCGGAGCTGAGTGCGAGCGAGGCGGCACTTGGTGCGGCGCGCGATGAGGCGTCCAAGGCGGCAGCGGAGGCGAGCAGCGCTGGGGAGCGAGCGCGTGCTGCTGAGGCGTCTGCACGGGAGCTTGAGGAGCGCGTTGCTGAGGCAGCGCGTGAGCTTGAGGTGAACCGTGCGGCGTGCGCGAAGCAGAAGGAACTGCGTGAGCAGACGCGGGAGATGACGAGCGCTGAGTGCGAGCGAGCGACGTACGAGACCGTGAAGACCGAGCAGGCGAAGCGATTGCGGAGCTCGAGCGCCTTGTCGGGGAGGCGCGTACGCGGGAGACGCAGGTGCGTGAGGAGCTTGATGCGCAGCTGCGGAGCGTGCGCGTTGAGCTTGAGAAGCAGCAGGAGGCGGCTGCGGCGAGCGACCAGAGCGCGGAGGTCGCGCGGCTGAAGAAGCTGTGCGGGGAGAAGATGCGCGAGGTTGGCGAGCTGCAGGAGGCGCTTGATGCGAGTGCGAGCGCGCGCAGTGAGCTTGAGGGCGAGTTGCGGCGAGCACAGGACGGACAGCGGGAGGCTGAGAAGGACGCAGCGGCGAGCGCGGAGAAGCAGCGCAAGACGCAAGGTGCGCTTGAGAGCCTGCAGAAGGAGCACGAGCGCGCGCGGACGGAGCTTCGGCTTCGGGAGGCCTCGCTGACGCAGCTTGAGCAGAGCCTGGGCGAGCGTGAGGCGGAGCTGAGTGCGAGCGAGGCGGCACTTGGTGCGGCGCGCGATGAGGCGTCCAAGGCGGCAGCGGAGGCGAGCAGCGCTGGGGAGCGAGCGCGTGCTGCTGAGGCGTCTGCACGGGAGCTTGAGGAGCGCGTTGCTGAGGCAGCGCGTGAGCTTGAAGTGAAGCCGTGCGGCGTGCGCGAAGCAGAAGGAACTGCGTGAGCAGGACCGGCGGGAGATGGACGAGGCGCTGAGTGCGAGCGAGGCGACGTACGAGGCCGTGAAGACGGAGCAGGCGAAGCGGATTGCGGAGCTCGAGCGCCTTGTCGGGGAGGCGCGTACGCGGGAGACGCAGGTGCGTGAGGAGCTTGATGCGCAGCTGCGGAGCGTGCGCGTTGAGCTTGAGAAGCAGCAGGAGGCGGCTGCGGCGAGCGACCAGAGCGCGGAGGTCGCGCGGCTGAAGAAGCTGTGCGGGGAGAAGATGCGCGAGGTTGGCGAGCTGCAGGAGGCGCTTGATGCGAGTGCGAGCGCGCGCAGTGAGCTTGAGGGCGAGTTGCGGCGAGCACAGGACGGACAGCGGGAGGCTGAGAAGGACGCAGCGGCGAGCGCGGAGAAGCAGCGCAAGACGCAAGGTGCGCTTGAGAGCCTGCAGAAGGAGCACGAGCGCGCGCGGACGGAGCTTCGGCTTCGGGAGGCCTCGCTGACGCAGCTTGAGCAGAGCCTGGGCGAGCGTGAGGCGGAGCTGAGTGCGAGCGAGGCGGCACTTGGTGCGGCGCGCGATGAGGCGTCCAAGGCGGCAGCGGAGGCGAGCAGCGCTGGGGAGCGAGCGCGTGCTGCTGAGGCGTCTGCACGGGAGCTTGAGGAGCGCGTTGCTGAGGCAGCGCGTGAGCTTGAGGTGAGCCGTGCGGCGTGCGCGAAGCAGAAGGAACTGCGTGAGCAGGACCGGCGGGAGATGGACGAGGCGCTGAGTGCGAGCGAGGCGACGTACGAGGCCGTGAAGACGGAGCAGGCGAAGCGGATTGCGGAGCTCGAGCGCCTTGTCGGGGAGGCGCGTACGCGGGAGACGCAGGTGCGTGAGGAGCTTGATGCGCAGCTGCGGAGCGTGCGCGTTGAGCTTGAGAAGCGGCAGGAGGCGGCTGCGGCGAGCGACCAGAGCGCGGAGGTTGCGCGGCTGAAGAAGCTGTGCGGGGAGAAGATGCGCGAGGTTGGCGAGCTGCAGGAGGCGCTTGATGCGAGTGCGAGCGCGCTGCAGTGAGCTTGACGGCGAGTTGCGGCGAGCACAGGACGGACAGCGGGAGGCTGAGAAGGACGCAGCGGCGAGCGCGGAGAAGCAGCGCAAGACGCAAGGTGCGCTTGAGGAAGACGCAGAAAGCTCTTGAGGACGCGCGGACGGAGCTTCGGCTTCGGGAGGCCTCGCTGACGCAGCTTGAGCAGAGCCTGGAGCGAGCGTGAGGCGGAGCTGAGTGCGAGCGAGGCGGCACTTGGTGCGGCGCGCGATGAGGCGTCCAAGGCGGCAGCGGAGGCGAGCAGCGCTGGGGAGCGAGCGCGTGCTGCTGAGGCGTCTGCACGGGAGCTTGAGGAGCGCGTTGCTGAGGCAGCGCGTGAGCTTGAGGTGAGCCGTGCGGCGTGCGCGAAGCAGAAGGAACTGCGTGAGCAGGACCGGCGGGAGATGGACGAGGCGCTGAGTGCGAGCGAGGCGACGTACGAGGCCGTGAAGACGGAGCAGGCGAAGCGGATTGCGGAGCTCGAGCGCCTTGTCGGGGAGGCGCGTACGCGGGAGACGCAGGTGCGTGAGGAGCTTGATGCGCAGCTGCGGAGCGTGCGCGTTGAGCTTGAGAAGCAGCAGGAGGCGGCTGCGGCGAGCGACCAGAGCGCGGAGGTCGCGCGGCTGAAGAAGCTGTGCGGGGAGAAGATGCGCGAGGTTGGCGAGCTGCAGGAGGCGCTTGATGCGAGTGCGAGCGCGCGCAGTGAGCTTGAGGGCGAGTTGCGGCGAGCACAGGACGGACAGCGGGAGGCTGAGAAGGACGCAGCGGCGAGCGCGGAGAAGCAGCGCAAGACGCAAGGTGCGCTTGAGAGCCTGCAGAAGGAGCACGAGCGCGCGCGGACGGAGCTTCGGCTTCGGGAGGCCTCGCTGACGCAGCTTGAGCAGAGCCTGGGCGAGCGTGAGGCGGAGCTGAGTGCGAGCGAGGCGGCACTTGGTGCGGCGCGCGATGAGGCGTCCAAGGCGGCAGCGGAGGCGAGCAGCGCTGGGGAGCGAGCGCGTGCTGCTGAGGCGTCTGCACGGGAGCTTGAGGAGCGCGTTGCTGAGGCAGCGCGTGAGCTTGAGGTGAGCCGTGCGGCGTGCGCGAAGCAGAAGGAACTGCGTGAGCAGGACCGGCGGGAGATGGACGAGGCGCTGAGTGCGAGCGAGGCGACGTACGAGGCCGTGAAGACGGAGCAGGCGAAGCGGATTGCGGAGCTCGAGCGCCTTGTCGGGGAGGCGCGTACGCGGGAGACGCAGGTGCGTGAGGAGCTTGATGCGCAGCTGCGGAGCGTGCGCGTTGAGCTTGAGAAGCAGCAGGAGGCGGCTGCGGCGAGCGACCAGAGCGCGGAGGTCGCGGGGCTGAAGAAGCTGTGTGGGGACAAGATGCGCGAGGTTGGCGAGCTGCAGGAGGCGCTTGATGCGAGTGCGAGCGCGCGCGTTAGCTTGAGGCCGAGTTGTGGCGAGCACAGGACGGACAGCGGCAGCCTGAGAATGACGCATCGGCGAGGGCTGATAAGCATCGTATGACGCAAGGTGCGCTTGATGAGACGCAGAAAGCTCTTGAGGACGCGCGGATGGAGCTTTGTCTTCGTTAGGTTCGCTGACGCATCTTGAGCAGAGCCTGGGCGAGCGTGAGGCTTAGCTGAGTGCGAGCGAGGCGGCACTTGGTGCGGCGCGCGATGAGGCGTCCAAGGCGGCAGCGGAGGCGAGCAGCGCTGGGGAGCGAGCGCGTGCTGCTGAGGCGTCTGCACGGGAGCTTGAGGAGCGCGTTGCTGAGGCAGCGCGTGAGCTTGAGGTGAGCCGTGCGGCGTGCGCGAAGCAGAAGGAACTGCGTGAGCAGGACCGGCGGGAGATGGACGAGGCGCTGAGTGCGAGCGAGGCGACGTACGAGGCCGTGAAGACGGAGCAGGCGAAGCGGATTGCGGAGCTCGAGCGCCTTGTCGGGGAGGCGCGTACGCGGGAGACGCAGGTGCGTGAGGAGCTTGATGCGCAGCTGTGGAGCGTGCGCGTTGAGCTTGAGAAGCAGCAGGAGGCGGCTGCGGCGAGCGACCAGAGCGCGGAGGTTGCGCGGCTGAAGAAGCTGTGCGGGGAGAAGATGCGCGAGGTTGGCGAGCTGCAGGAGGCGCTTGATGCGAGTGCGAGCGCGCGCAGTGAGCTTGAGGGCGAGTTGCGGCGAGCACAGGACGGACAGCGGGAGGCTGAGAAGGACGCAGCGGCGAGCGCGGAGAAGCAGCGCAAGACGCAAGGTGCGCTTGAGGAGACGCAGAAAGCGCTTGAGGAGGCGCGGAAGGGCGCTGATGCTGCAAGGCGGGAGCTTGAGGAGGCGAAGCAGGCGCATGCCGGGGAGGTGAAGCGGCTTGAGGGCGCTGTTGCTGAGGCAGCGCGGGAGGAGGAAGCGCTGCGGGCGCAGCAGAAGAAGCTGCAGGAGCTGCGGGAGGAAGACAAGCGAGCCATGGACGAGGCACTTGCGGAGAGCAAGGCGACGCACGGCAAGGTGCAGGGCGAGCTGAAGGACCGCATTGCCGAGCTCGAGCGACGCCTCGACGCCACCAGCGATGACAGCAAGCACCGTGAATCCGAGCTTGCAAGCAAAGCACAGGACCTTGAGCAGCAGCTGGCAGCCCTTCGTGCCGTCAGTGAGACAGACAAGGCCAACCTTACGCGGCTGGAGTCTGAAGCCGCATCCAGTGCTGATGAGATTGCGCGCCTTCAAGCACGTGTTGATGAGCTGACACGTGCGCTGAGGGCGTGCGAGGAGAGCAAGCAGGACGAAGGCAACGCGCGCGCTGCCGCTGCCCAGGCAGAGAACCGGCGCCTGTCGCAGCAGGTTGCCGAGCTTGAGGCCAAGGCCCTTGCCCTGGAGGCACAGGTGGAGCAGCAACGGCGGGAGTGGGCGGCAGCGGTGGAGGAAGAGGCTGCAGCAGCCGCACAGCTGCGCACAGACCTGCAGGAGGCGATGGCACGCGCGGCGCGGGCGGAGGAGGTTGCGGCCGCACACCAGGAGTTGGAGGACATGCGGCCCGCAGCCGAGCAGGTGGCGGCGCTGACGGCGGAGTTGGAGCAGACGCGTGCGCTGCTTGCGGAGGCGAGGGAGGAGATTGCGCGGCTGCAGAAGGAACTGACGCGCTGCGGGAGCGGTTGCAGCGGCGGGCGTCGTCGACATCGTCGTCGTCGTCCAGGGTGGCGCGGTCCCCACGCCCGGAGACGCCATCGCGGCGGCTGAGCAGCGCGTTTGTCAAGGCGTCGAAGGACGCGGTGCACAGGGCGGTGTCTGACGTGCTGCAGAAGCACGGGCTTGGGGACGAGCACGTGTCGTTCCTTGGTCGGGGTAAGTACCGGTTCCGGTATGGCAACGACTTTAAGGTGGTGAATGTGGCGCAGCGCGGCAACAACTTCATGGTGCGTGTTGGCGGGGGCTGGGTGTCGCTTGACGAGTTTATTCGGGAGTACGTGGAGAAGCACCGCTACCACTACCAGGACGCCAGCCTCGAAGACACAGCCGCCTTCAAGTTCAGCAAGAAGCACCACGATGAAGTGCACAAGAAGAAGTAGTCTCTTTGCTGTCGCGTACTTGCGTGCGTGCACGTTGTGTGTTGGCGTGTAGCTTGCGTTGGTGTGTGTGTGTGTGTGTGTGTGTGTGTGTGTGTGTGTGTGTGTGTGTGTGTGTGCATTTCATGCGGGTGTGTGATCGCGTGTGGAGAGTGTAGGGGTGTGTAGTGGTGGTGTTGTGTCGCAAGAGAGTGCGCGTTGTTGATGATGTGTCCGACTGCAGTTGCTCTGGACATTGTTTCTTGCATGACTTGTCAGCCCTGCCTGCATGTGTTTGCTCTTTGAACTTGTTGCTCTGTGCTTGTTTGCTCTTAATGACTGTTGCCCTTGTTACTTTGTTCACTGCCGTGTGGCACCCATATTGGAATGCGTTTCTACTTTTGTTTACTTCATCAAGTCTGATTGAACGACTCGAAGCAAGAAGGGGCTGAGCGCCGTCATCACTGACCCGCTGACATGACAAAGGACTCGTTGGCGAGGAAGAGGAAGGTGACATGATGTGTGCGCGATGCACATTGAGCACGTGCACAAGTGCGTGACAGGAGCGAGGGGAGTAGCAAACACTGGCGCAGAAGAGGGGCCAGGGATGGGGGCGCACAGTGGCGGCAGCGATGCTGTCGAAGGGGTTGCACTGTAGCGAGGCTGACTCGTGCTTGGCGACGGCTTGGCTAGTGGTCGTGGGGTTTGCTTGTGCTGTGGGGTTTCGTATCGTGTGCTGGAGCGTTGGCCTCACTGACGAGTTGGTTGTAGTCCTCGTCGGGGAAGAAGATGGCGAGCTCTCGTCTGGCAGAGTCCGGCGAGTCTGATCCGTGCACGCAGTTGCGCGTGTCACTGACGCCGAAGAGCCCTCTGATGGTGGCCTGTTCGTGGATGTGCGTCTGGTACACCTTTGTCTTCCCCATAATGGAGCGCCAAACCTTGATGCCGTCCTTGCGTGCGAGTGCGAGTGCCACTGACGGGGCGCTGGTTGTGTAGTCGACGAGGCGGCGGTAGAAAAAGCGTCCTTTGTGCTCCTTGTAGAACTCCTGCGACTGCTCCCTCGTTAGCAAGCACTCGCGTGACCGCACAATCTGGAACCCGCTCGCGTGGATGGACCGCAGCACCGTCTGTAGCCTGTGTGGGTGTTGTGCGATGCTTGGCTTCAACAGCGCCAGCGTCACCTCCTTCAACATCCTCGTTTGTGTGTGTGTGTGTGTGTGTGTGTGTGTGCTTTTGTGTGTGTGTATTGGGTGGTGAGACACTTTTTCTGCTTGTTTGTGTGCATGCAGTGGAGAGAGAGCAAAAAAAAAAGAGAAACAACACTGAAGATGCAGCTGCTTGTTGCTGTTGTGGCGTTGCTGTGCTGCGGCGGTGGCGTGCTTGTCACCCCTGTGCATGGCACGGAAGGCCCGAGCCCTCTGGAGCTGATTCGCGTGGATAAGGTGGAGGTCGTGCGTGACTTTGGCAACTCGTCCATCTCCGTCCAAGCCAGCCCAGCCACCTTCAAGTATGCGTTGTGTGCTTGTTTGTGTTTGTGTTTCAGGAGAGTGTATGCCGCGTGTTGTTGTCTGCACTGCCTTTGTTCATGTGTTGCATGTTTGACCAACCCTCATGCTGTTGGTTGCCTTGGTGTACTCACCCAACACGCGCACACACACACACACACACACACACACACACACACACACACACACGCACACGCGCACGCACACACACACACACACATGTGAACGCATGCCGGCAACCTTTGCAGGCACGGCGACAACATCACCGTGTCCTGGAGTGGTGTGAGCAAGCCAAGCCTGAACGATTGGATCGGTGCATACCTTCAGCACGATGATGTGAAGAACACTGCGCCCATCAAGTTCCAGTTTGCCGCCTTCTCAAAGGACTACCTGAAGACTGGTCAGCGATGAGGGGGAAAGCAGCTTCATCTCAGTTGCGGAAGCGGTTCTTTACCCATGGAGTCTGTGGCGCGTATTTGTGTGCACGGCGAGTGCATGTGCGTGTGTGTATGTCTGCGCGTGCATATGTGCAGCTGGTGGTATTGTCAGAGCATCTCATCGTCGTGGCTGCCCGGCCTTTTATCTGCACACTGCCCATCACGTTGCCAGGGTCTGGCAGCTTTGTGTTTCGTCTCATGAACATGCGTGACGACTACGTCTTCGTCTTCTTCCGCGATGGGCTGGAGAAACCCAAGGCCGCCACAGCCTCCAACCCCGTCAAGGTGACGTCGCGGTGTGTATGTGTGTGTATGTGTGTGTATGTATGTGTGTATGTATGTATGTATGTATGTATGTATGTATGTATGAATGTATGTATGTATGTATGTATGTATGTATGTATGTATGTATGTATGTATGTATGTATGTATGTATGTATGTATGTATGTATGTGCGTACGCCTCTCTGTATGTGTGTGTGTGCGCGCGCGCGAGACATGTGGGCTGTTGGTCGTGCTGCGGGGGAATTGTGTCCCGCCTATCCCTCATCTGATACCGCCGTTACCGTCACCGCGCGGTGTGATGCGATGTGCGGGGACAGGTGGAGAACGCAAACGAGCCGCTGCAGGGCCGCGTGTCACTGACAAACGACACGACAAGCATGAAGGTCTCATGGACCACTCGCAACAGGTCGGTGGTTTGGTTTTACTTGCGATGATTTCCACGGATGACACGTGACGCATTGTGAAGCACTTTGCTCTCGCAGCTGCTGCTATGATGCAAGCACACACACGTATACTTGCTTGCAATCACGGACATGCAAGCGCGCACACAAACACACACACACACACACATACACATGCAAACATATTCACACGCCAGCTCGCGTTCCTTTCATGGTCTCCGTATTTCAGTACGTCTCCCGTTGTGCGCTGGGGATTTTCCTCTGGCGAATACACACACACGGCCCACGCCCACTCTTACACATACACAACCAAGGACATGTGCGTTGACAGGGCAAGAGGGGGCTTGCGTGATTGTGCGTGTGCTTGTGTGTGTGCGTGTGCGTGTGTGTGTGTTGTGTGTGTGTGCGTGTGTGTGACTGTGTGTGCATTGTGTGTGTCTACCCATCTCAAGGTGAGTGCTTACCACCTTCCACTACCTTACACTACTGCCCCCCCCCACAAATCCTGGCTGCTGCTGCATCTTGAAGGTGCGGCCCTCCTGCTGTGACGGTTGGCTTCCGCTCGCCAGGCCTCTTCCACTCTGCAATCATCACCAACCTCAGCCCAGGTCAGCCGCGCTGCGAACGCGTCGGTTGCGTGAATGGCCGATGAGATGGTCGTTGGATGCGTGAGTTTAGTTATTCGATAGCTGGGGTGGTTGTGACGACGGATGTTTGTGTGCAAATGCGTTTCTCCGTACGGAAACACCAATGTGTATATGTGCAGACCCTTGTTGCGTCCCTACCAAAAATCATCAACGCGCGCTTACTTTGCCTGCTGTACCCGCTCTGCTTGTTCGTCGCCTCCTCCTCCCCCCCCCCCTCTTTTTTCCACCGACGCTCTCCGCAGGCCAGCGTGTGTATTACATCTTTGGCGATGACAAGCACGGGTAAGGGCTGCACAGCATCCGCTGCGCCCGCACGTGTTGGCGAACATGGTTACGTTTTATGTTACGTGATCACCTCCCTTCTCCAGTCACTCTGCTCTTCTTGTGTTCTTTTGTTCGCTGTTGGTGCGGCGACGTCTCTGCGCTGCCCGCCCCCTTTCCACCCCTCACACCACCATGTTCTCCGTTGCCCCTCTTCTTCTCCGTTCATCATACCACGCAATCTCAATTCCCCCCTCCCCATCATGACGCAATGTGCACAGGTTCAGCAAGGAGCACTCCTTCCGCCACGCCCCCGCCCCAGGCGCCGCCGTCAACGCAATTGCGTTTGGCGATCTTGGGCAGCACGTCCTCGACCACTCTCTCCAGCAGGTGACACCGCGCGTGTGCGTGCGTGTATGTGTGTGTATGTGTGTGTGTATGTGTGTGTGTATGTGCGTGTATGTGTGTGTGTATGTGTGTGTGTGTGTGGGTTGGGGGGGGGGTGGGCTGTGCGAGTGTGTACTCGTGTATGTGGAACAAGTAGTGAGCGTGGTTGTGTTTCCATGAACAGGTGATTGCTTCATCTCTCAACACCTCTCCACCAACCCTTGATTGCACACCACATCCACCACTGCCGCGGATCAGACGGACATGGCGCCGAGCCGCAACACGACCGACGGCATCGAGGCCGAAATCGCCGACAAGCACCTCCTCATGCACATCGGAGACATCTCATGTGCGTGCTCCGTGTGTGCTGTGCGTGCTCTCTGGGTGTGTGTGTATGTGTGTGTGTGTGTGTGTGTGTGTGTGTGACGAAATCATCTGTTGCTCACCACAGTCACTGTCCAAACATCCCCTCATTATGTGCGTGCGTGCATGTGTGCGTGCAGATGCGCGCGGGTACGTTTCGCAGTGGGAGCAGTTCCACGACCAGATTGAGCCCATCGCCACCTCCCTCCCCTACATGACCGCCATCGGAAACCACGAGCGTGACTGGCCAGGCACAGGTGCACGTCTTGCGCCGTGATGTGTGTAGGTGCACGTGTATGTGATGCTATTGTGTGTAGGTTTGTGTATTTGTTGTGTGTGTTTGTTTATTGTGAGTGTTTGTTTGTTGTGAGTGTGTGTGTGTATTTGTTGTGTTTGTGTGTGTTTGGCATCAACAGCACGCTGCTGGTTAGGAGTCTTCATGTAACCAACCACCCATCCCACCATCTGACCATCCCAACAACACCCCCCCCCCTTCCTCCTCCAAACACAGGCACGACGGGCAACACGGATTCTGGCGGGGAGTGTGGGGTTGCGTATGAGCTGCGCTTCCCCATGCCAACCGAGAGCCGGGACGAGCCGTGGTACGCGTTTGACTTTGGAGTCCTTCACGTCATCATGATCTCCACCGAGCAGGACTTCAAGCAGGGCAGCAAGCAGCACGATTACATCATGGTGCGTGTGCGTGCGTGTGTGTGTGTGCGTGTGTGTGTTGCTTGTGCTGTTGGAATGGGTGTGCTCTTTGCTGGCAGTTGTGTGTGTGTGTGTGCGCGCGTGTGTGTGCGTATATATGTGTTTACATTGGTTGCTCCTGCTGCGAGGATGACTTGCGTGCGTGGACTTGATTTGCGTGCAACTAATGTAAGGTTGACACACTCCCTCGACCTCAAAACACCCACAAACACGTTTCACCACCTCCTTCCCCACATACAATACCTGCGGCCCCTCCCCAATCTACGACGCGAACAGCGGGACCTGAAGTCCATTGACCGGACGAAAACGCCGTGGGTCATCTTCGCTGGGCACCGCCCCTTTTACATCGACTCCACAAACTGGGAACCCCACGGAGGTGAGCGCAACGGCAGTGATTGGTGGTGGTGGTGGTGATTGGTGGTCGAAGTATGGGTGATCTCGCAAGCACGGCAACGCGGTACGTACTGTCTCCCAACGCCTCACACACACACACACACACACACACACACACACACACACACACACACACACACACACACACATATATATATATATATACAATGTGCAGGTGACCAGACGGTTGCTGAGGACATGCGCAAGACGTACGAGGATGTGCTGTTTGACAACAAGGTCGACCTCATCTTTGGTGCTCACCACCACAGCTACCAGCGCACGTGCCACGGTAGGGTGATCGATGGATTGAGGGATGGATGGATGGATGGAGGGAGGGAGGGAGAGGATGTATTGGAGAGGTGCTCGGGAGGTGGTGGTTGTGGTGTCAGAGTTTGTTGCTTGCTTGTGACCGCCATTTGTCATCGCCTCCTTCTCCAACCTCCCACCAACCACCAACCACCACACCAAGAATCACCACAACCACAGCCCCCCCTCCCATCATAACCACCACAACCACATCATGTCCCACGTTGCAGTGTACCAGAACAAGTGCGTGAACACGACGACTGCCGACGGCTACCGCGGCCCCGTCACCGTCGACATCGGTATGGCCGGCGCAGGCAACAGCCAGAACATCCAGAACCCGCAGCCAGAGATCTTCAAGGTGCCGTGTCGCGTCGTGTGTGTGTGTGTGTGTGTGTGTGTGTGTGTGTGTGTGTGTGTGTGTGTGTGTGTGTGTGTGTGTGTGTGTGTGTGTGTGTGTGTGTGCGTGTGTGTGTGTGTGTGTGCGTGTGTGCGTGTGTTTGCCCAATGTGTAGGTGTGCCCGCATTCCATTCCCCCACACCCGCAAGCTCATCACCGCGCGTGCCACTCACAATCCTTGTTGCGTGCTGTGCATTGTTGGTTTACAGTTTGTGGACGACAGCCACCACGGGTTCACCCGCATCATGGCCAATATGACGCACTTCCACATGCAATACGTCCGCGGTGATGACCGCAAGGTGCACGACGAGTTTGTTCTCGTCAAGTGAAGATGAGGACCGCTGCCGTGCCTCCTTTGCCATTCACCTCTTCCCTTCTTCCTTCCTTTCCGTCTTCCTTCCTTCCTTGCTTCCTTGCTTCTTTCCTTCCATCCATCTGCTTGCCTATCAATGTTCGTTGCGCTTTTGGTTTTCGTTATGTTCCTCGTCCTCGCCCTCGTCCTCGTCCTCGTCCTCCTCCTCCTCTTCTCCACTTTTGTTCCTTTCGTTACTCCACTCGCTGTCTTCATCTTCATGCTGCAAGCACGTGCTGTGATGTGCTGCGACATGACCTGCACCAGCCCTGCGACCACCATCAACTCACATCAAGCAAGAAGCAAGCGAGACGGAGGCAGTGTGGTCTGACGCGTGTTGCGAAGACACACACACACACACACACACACACACACACACACACACACACACACACACACACACACACACCAAGCACACACACACACACACAAAAGAACACACACACACACTCACCACACACACACACACACACACACACACACAAAAGCACACACGTACCACACACACACACACACACACACACACACACACACACACACACACACACACACACACACACACACACACACACACACACACACACACACACACACAAAAGCACACACACACGTACACACCTCATTCACGACAGCACAAGTTGTAGCGGATATGGACTTGGTCTGGGTGTGTGCGAAAGGACAACAACAAACCACACTTGCTTGCTTCTGCTTGCTTGTTGTGTGCTTGCGTGCTCCTTCTTCTACCGCTGCTTGCTCCCTGTCGCATCCATTCCCACTGCCAACACCACGCATACCCTCGCTTCTTGTGTGCTCTTGAGTCCCTCGTTTGAGTTTCTTGTGTGTCGCATCATGTCACCGCATGCATCATCACCACCTACCTGCTCACACTTCCTCATTTCATTGTCATCGTCACACCTTGATCGCCTCCTCCAAAACCTCAGAACTCCATTGAGCGGTCCCTGGGCATGTCTGAAGGAGAGCACGGTCAGTGTGCTGTAAGGCGTGTGTTTATCGTGTGCCGTGTGCGGTGCGAAGTGACCTGTCCTGGCCCGAACTGGTGTTCAGCAGCGACGGTGTCTTGCTTCGAACCTCACGTCTCCATAACCACCGCCAACATGCTTCGTTGTGGGGGTGTGCAGCGTCCGGCGAGGTGTACGAGGAAGAGCGCGATGCTCTTCTTCGCCGCGCCTCGGACGCCATCAAGGCTGTGCAACGCGAATATGCAGGCAAAACGACCATTGCAACCGACAAAGACAGCCAGTGCGTTCGGCAGCCCAGTTTGTGTGTTGATGTGTGGTTGCGTGTATTGTGGGTATGATCGTGTGGTTGTGTGTATTGTGGGCATGATCGTGTGGCTGTGTATCTGTGTATCTGTGTGTATGTGTGTGGTATGATCAAGGGCTCCATTTCAACCTGTGGACTCGTCTCCAACCTCTGTCTTCATCCTTGTTTGCGCACGTGTCTGCTTCATCTTCGACTCATGCCATGCACGCGACCATTGTGTCAGGGTGACGTGCCTGTGTGCCCAGTTGGAGGCGATCCTGTGTCATGGCCTCAAGACCAGCCGCAAGCGCAACGTGGAATTCAGTGAGTCCTCACGGGTTACATCGCCCGCAGCTATCGCACTTCTTTACCCTGTGTGTGTGTGTGTGTGTGTGTGTGTGTGTGTGTGTGTGTCTGTCTGTCTGTCTCTGTCACTGTTTTTTGCCTTGACTGTGTGTTCTACCTTCCATCCCTCCTTTCAATGCTACTGTCATGCGCTCACTGTTTGTCTTGAAACCAATCAACCAACCCAC